AATATGCAAGTTTCATACTGACCATTAACTTCAACATTCTGTCGGATAAAGTGTTGTATGATGCCTGGTCGAAGATGTAGACCAGAGGAGTCTATTCTTGCATTAAGACCACACCATGATGCCAAGATATATGCTGATCTACAATGCCTTGATTTGCAGGAACCAAACATTTCTCCAGCAACATTTACACTTGAAAGTATTTCACAACAAGCAGTCACAGATTCCTCATTTACATCAATTAAGAAAGAGCTGTATGCTGCTTTCAGATGTGAGAGAGAGTTCATAGAAATAGCAGTCTTGAATATGGGTGGCAAACATGTTATAAAGTCTATCTGGTCTGAAATTATCCAGAACAGTCCTTTCCTCACTGGGCCAATGGACAGAAGACTTTGTCTAATAATTAAATCTGATGAGCTCTTACAATTTAAAGTGTTCACAGTCCCTATGGCACTTGACTTCATTTTGTTTAAAATAGGGACAAAAATGTCACTATAAACAGTAGGAAGTGGTATTGCCTTGACAAACTGTTCTGATAAAAATTTTCTCATTATTTGTATTTCAATGGATCGCTGGTTTGTAGAATATACCCCTAATATTCCATTATACCTGTTAGCGCCATAGCGCCAACAGTGGTTTTTTGTTTGTTTTTCGCTTTGTTTCGTTAAGTAGTGTTCGCCATTGTATTTGTCAGCTTAAGTCAACGTTCGTTTATTTCCTTTGTTCCTTATATGTTCCATGCAAATTTTGTTCAGTTTAAGCGCTCGTTTTGAATATTTTAATCAGTGTCGTCATATCGTAGTATCGAGTACATCGCACAGTTTGTTTGTAAGTATTTTCATCTTTTCCTTGTCTTTAATATCGTTTTTCATGTTATATAGTATAGTTAATTGTATTTGTAAATTTATTACTTAGGAACCTTGCTTGCTTGCTTGTTTGTAAGCGTTTCGACAATGTGCTCGTAAATAAATACTTGATCCGTTAAGTGTATCGTTATGGCGACCTCACTCTTCACAGGCGAAAATACATACTTGGATTTTTCAAATTTTCTCACGAAGAATAAACAGAAAAGTCACATCATGGACCGCGGGGCAGGGGGGCTTGGGGGCTGCAGCTCCCCCAATAATTTTTTCGACATTTTGAATTTTCTTAAATTATAAAGAAGCGAAGAGCCTCCTCATGAAATTTCACCATATATATTCTATAAAAATTGTGTAAAACCTGAGCTTGAACAATTAAAATTGAAGCTTTTTTGCGAAGTCTATGTGATTTATTGATAATATCGGTGACCGTGTGTATGGTAAAAATTGATAACGCCTCAAAACGCTGGAAATGACATTTCCGAGAGTTGTTGTTGTGGGGCGGGGGACAGGGAGCCCGCCACTAAGAACGGCTGCGAGGAGACTAATCAAAATATAACGGACAAATTTTCAGAAAAATCGATAAAACAGCACAATTAATTCATTGTATAAAATGTATCCCTAATAAATAATAGTATAATTAAAGTTGGTCAAGCTTAAAACATAGTTATTAAATCTTCTAACTATGCATTTTTTTCGTACCGCAGGAAGCCCATTGATGACAAAACCTGTGAAATCGAGCACATTACTTTGTTATATTAACCCGCACGGCTATTTTTTTCAGAGGGTCGAAAGAGGGCACAGATCCGACAGATGCTTTTGAGAGTTATTTAGCTGATGCTTTTCATGTAATTTCTCGTTACTTAAGCCATGTGTTATGATAGTTAGCCGTGAGGTCTCAATTAACCAACTATGCAACAACTTGACGTGATTCACATGACGTCGAAGCACCAACTTGTTTACAGTTTCACGATCGTTACACAGTGATGATACTATCAATAGAWATAATAACAGGATAATATAGACAGTTCAGCATTTCACTAATAACGTATTCAGTTCTTGGTAGAGTACTCCGGAAGGTTATGCCTTTAGGGCAGGAATCGAGATCAAGATAATTTCTGAAAATTGAAGTCCTAATAATCTGAATAAATAATGCATATCTATAAGGAATTGCACCAAATTAACATTACACGCCTTCTTACCTTTAGACGATCGGCTCATTAAGAAAGCAATAACCAAAATCGATATCAAAAGACGGGAATCCATTTTTTAGCATTTGAGCCTCGTTTATTTCATACTTGATTTTCCACGTGACCTTTACAGACAGGAGGTCTTGAGTAACCACACGATCATGATATACGAGCCATCCAACAACCATTCATGTCTCTCGTCCAGATTTGATAAAAGCTTATCTCTACAGGTTTTCATTGGAACGCACTAGGTTTTGGCAATTAGTCCAAAAAATATATTCTAGTGATGAACGGCGGCCATTTTGTCAAAGGGTCTATTTCACTATTATACGTCAGAGTATGTTTACAGTATGGCAGATTGGCTGAAAAATCAGTTCTATATCTTTTCTTCAAATATTCGTCTTCACATTATCTGGACTCATAGTATTCAATGCATTTAGTTGTCACCCTTTCCTTTATTCATGTATTGTGTGTGTGTATTTTGTCCTGTCATTTTGTCCGGCAAAGGGCGACCAGGAGGCCTTGGCGTCAAAATGCAATAAAATGTTCACTTCTAAATAAGTGAAAAAGGGCATTTATCAAATGTTTGCAAAAAAGATCCGAAGCTTTCCTCCTAGCGTGAAGTCAGTTTTGGACTTTTTGCACGACGGCAGCTAAATGAAAGAACAACCAAAACAGCAAGTCATAGGTAAAGGGTTGGTAATTGTCACGTGACTGTACGTACATACATTGATGAGTATCCAAATGGACTCTTTCTATCTCCGCCTCTTGTCATGACGTTGTAACTAGGGCTGTCTCAACAGACTAGATCAATGAGAAATGCATGATGGACATATTTCAAATGTATATTGCAAGCAGAGACGGCGAATCTCAACTATTCAGATATATACTGCATGACCCAAATATATTTCTGATTGTTCAGCCTGAGACTGATAACGGCAATGGTGTCTTCATCAGATAGTCATTACCGTCAAAATACAAATATATGGGGCCTAATGTTCCTTCGACCTACCGCAAAGAAGTTCATAATGGGTGCCTAACCGGAGTTTCCCTTGAGTGTTTACCTTCCCTTACGGACGTCGACATTTGAAGTGCTGACAACCATTCGACACTGCCCATCATCACAAAACAAACTCCTTCTCTCAATTCTAAAATACTCCTAAAATCATACATTACGACGCTTGTATTTCTATTTTTACTCGTAATATATTCCAAAAACAGTGCCTACAGCAAACAAAGAATTATTGTAGAAACTTTCTGTTACAAAATTATCATTTTCGATATCCCATACACATCGACTAGCTATCCTCACAGTTTGACCTTTCAATTCTCCGATAGTCACAGTGCACACAAATCGATATCTCGCCATCCCAAGCATCTTAACCTCTTGGAGAATGCCATTGGAAAGTACTTTAGATATGTCTCGACTCCTCTTGCAATCATACTTCTCGAATTCCAAACTGACCTGAAGATTTCGCTTGACAATTTCTTGTATTTTGGCGATGTTGAGTGTTACGTCCGGTGACATTTTATATGTGTTTGCATATAGTTTAACTTTTTGTCTGATGGACGTCGTCGATGCCCTTACTCCAAAGGACCTTGCCATGGCCGTTTCCAGGTCGACAAACGGCGAGTCGTAGTGGCTTGTTCGAAAGTTTCCTTTCTCCCCTGTTAGCTTGTGCAATGTGGGGATGCTGAAAAGGCTTGAACTTGAACTGCTTCTCTTTCGTAAACTCATTGTTAGATAAAACGTTTGAAGGTTTAGAGCGGTATAGAGTATAATGGTATAGAGGCACACCGCCTTCTGTTGATTCACGTAAACAAGTAAAGGTTATAAATGAAATCAGCGTCTGTCGAATGACTATTGATACAGTGGGCGTAGTTCATTCGGTCGACCCTCGGCCAACTCTACAATACGGCCACCTCTACGGGCACCTACATAATGACCACTCACTTATTACGGACGCTTGTATAGGCACGGCCATATCTATATCAGCTAAATAATATACAGCCACGTCAACGAACGAGCTAAGCGTCTAGAAACCGATGAACGGTAAAGTTTGAGTCTCTCCTTGACAGCCGGGCTTAAGCTTATAAGGACTGGAACCCCAACTCTACGAACGTTTCAATCTCGATCCCAGAGTCTTCACGGCTAATGTCAGCGGTATGCTGACGCCGGAAAGACTCCAATCTCGTGCCCAGAGCCCACACTTTTGCCATCCAGCGGATGACTGCGTGAGAGACTCTGGAGGAATCCATTTTTTCTCGATTTCTGATTGGTTGAAAATGACGAGAGCGCGCATTGTTTTCAAGTCGGTTTTTCCAGTTGCCAGCGCGCGCTCGCCTGTTTAGTCAAAAATATCATACTTTTATCGCATAAAAACACCTTCTTTCACACATTTTTGTTTTTTAAAAAGGTGTAACTACCGTTACTAAACTAAGTTGTGTGCTAAACCTCCTTCTCTTTTATCATTTTGATGCTCTAAAGCGGCAAAAACAAAACTGACCTAATTTGCATAATTTGCGACGGAAAAGCGTCGCAAATCCAGTCGATTCCTCCAGAGTCTTTCCGGCGTCAGCATACCGCTGACATTAGCCGTGAAGACTCTGGGCTCGAGATTGGAAAGACTCTCTCACGCATTGACTTCCGCTGGATGGCAACAGTGCGGGCTCTGGGTACGAGATTGCGAACGTTTTTAGGAAATTTCCTTATTCTCTACTTGCACATGACCCATAATACCTTCTGATTTTGGGGGGTAGGTTTTGTGATGTGCAAATAAAATTAATTGTTATTCAAATATAAATGATTTCAATAACAATAACTACCCCCAAAAATCAGAAGGTATTATGGGTATGCGCAAGTAGAGAATTTCTTTTTTGGTTGTGATTGACGTCGTGGCTACAGCAGGGGCGGATCCAGGGGAAGGTGCTTTTGGTGCGGACGCACCCCCCCCCCCCCCCTTTTTGACGATTTTTTTTCTGCTGTTTATATTCCTGTTTTACTTTCATCGAGAAAACGAGTAGTGTTCACAACATGTGTCTGTCACTATCAAAACCGGGAATCCTTTGGTGACGGGAAAAGGTACACGCGCTGACAAAAGCATATATAAAATGCTGGATCCGCCCCTGTACAGATCTAGTGCGCTTGTTATCGTAAAGACGTGGAGGTGGCTCTTTGTAGATCCATGACTTCAAGCATCCACAGTGTTTCAGAAGAACGGAATTCACTTTTGTCAGCAAACTTGAGTATGCGAATCGTTGGATAGCTGGGGAAAGTTTGTGTGGATGACTTCCCTGTAGTCTTAAGTTGACCAGCCACCATCACATACATTCCTGTTAGAAAAAAGTTGTTTTTAGGACTATACATTGCGCAAAAGCGCGCGCGTACTTGTAGTGCTTCACTTTTTGAGGACTTCTTTTCAACAATATTTTTAAATTCCATTTTGAAAAATAATAATAATAAAGACAACAATGTGGTCCGTACATTGAGTCCTCAAAAAAACTCACGAAAAAGACAAAACAAAACATTTTTGGGGGGTGATACGCCGCAGCCATGGGCTTATAATTGAAAAAAACAAAAGTTCAAGAAAGGTGCCAAATCTGAATATGGTATTTTTCCTATTTTTATCGACACCCCTGAGTAGTTTCATAGATCTCATSKTAAAATTTATCGTTCTTAGTAATATATATTGGGCTACCTGTGGTACAGCCGAACCAAACTTTGTTCTTCGCAGTCTAATAACAAACATATACCATTTTTTATATCCATCTAAATATCTATACCTTTGATGATGGTAAAATTCTTGACTAATTTGACAACACCAGTTGCATGAGCAACTCCTGTACCATCATCAACCAAAACATCATTGCCATCGGCCGACACAAGAACAACAAACCCTTGAATCCATACTTGATTAAACCTTAGAGGTAAATCCAGTGTGCCCTGGTAGATCCATTCYTCTTCATCTTTGTCGACTTGAAAACAGTTTGTAAGTTGAACAACGAAAAATTTCCTCGCTGGTAGGTTGAGAATCGAAGTTTTTTCTGTCATGATTTGCTTTTTTAGACAAAAAGTTTGTTTTGTTATACGTTATCAATTGGAATACTTAATTCCCATGATTAAGGTCGCATTTTGTAGGTCTAACTCCTCTGAGAACTCTAAATTGCTTTGTTTTCAACTCGGGTTCTGCAACTGTCCGCCATTTTGAAATTTGAAATACCCGCGTAAGAGACTGAGTTCTAGCATCATGACGTCATATCAAAATGGCGGACACATAAGAAAAAAGACCAAGTAACTGAATAGATTTCAACGATGGTTCGCGGACCGATTAGAATGGTTTTGTCTCGAAATTAGACTTCATGAAGCATGGCTAATAAACGTGTTGTATATTTTTACGACGAAGACGTAGGAAATTTCCATTATGGTAAGATGAAATTTGTTGACATGATGACAATGGTTCTCCAAAACTGCTTCTCAACTGACTTCCCTTTCATGTATAGTGAATTTATGCGAAGTATAAATATTTTGCATAATTAAGTTGTTTAAATTAATGTATTTAAGCTTATATTGTGTTTTTGCACTTTGTTATCTTGCTTTTAGTTGTTTTAGTTGAGTTTCAGCTTCATGTTTGAATCATTCAGATCAGAATCTTTGAAATTTCTCTAGACTTGACATAAGTCTCATTGTAAGTTGATGTCTTACAGTATTRGACGTTGATTTAATACAAAGAAAAGAGACGCCTTTGTAACAATACTTGTAATTTTGAAGTAGTTATTTGTTTTCTTATTTGTTTTTGGCAAGACAAAGAACCTGAGTGTTCAAAAATGTAAGCTACATATTTATAAGGCATAGCGTAGGTAGACTTTGAAAATTGCCAGTACGTTAAGTGTCAGTGAGACAGAATTATTAGCCTTTTGTCCACGTATTTTGGTATGTAGGTATGTAAAATCACGCATGGTCAAATATATATTATATAGTTCACATAACTAGCCTGTATAAAGATATTGTTATGTGAGTGCATGTTGTTGTTATGGCAGGTCCAGGTCACCCTATGAAACCCCATCGCTTGACATTAACACACAATCTTGTCTTTAACTATGGCCTGCACAAGAATATGGAGGTAACCTGTCAATCGTTGATTATTACTATCACCACAAAATTATGTTCTCACCTCAGTCATTGCAATATACTACTGCACATCAACCAAGAACTCAGTCAAATATCCTTCAGTCAAGAATCAAGAAATGAATCTATATCAATCAGTCATCCAGTGTAGATTAATCAAGCAATCATTATCGTAACAAGTCATACTGTTTTATTATAAACATTTTTATGAAGGATTATCTGAATCTATACAACAGGTATACAAGCCATACCGAGCCACGGATCATGATATGTGTAGATTCCATGCCCAAGATTACATAAAGTTTTTATCAAGGTGTGTGTTACTATGGTTACTAAATAAGATTGAGAGAGAATATTGATAGGACTTTTACTCCTCTGTAAACATGCTTTGACATCATTGTATAATGAATTATGTTGCAATTTATTGCTAAAGTAATAATTTTGCTACATGTAAATGTTATTCAGGCAAACATACATTATAACTTAGACATCAAATATTGAACTAAAAGCTTTGAATAAGATCTTTTGATTTATCAATTAATTTGGAATTCCTATTCAAAACTTTTAGTTCAATTTATATTATATTTTTTTCATTTTATGATAAATTGCTCCTTTTAATTTGAGCATTATGAAAAGCATTCTAAATCAATATTACATACATGTATGTACATGT